CAATTAATTACGATTCGATACGTCTTTACAATAATGAAACTGTGTTTCAAAATATTCATGCATTTTATTTTTTCCTGTCACATTAAACACAAAGTGCAAACTTGTAAATCAGAGAGTTAAAACTTGAGATGTGAACAAAACTCTCTTAAAAGTATAAACTTGTTTGTGAAAAGTGAAAAAGTGAAGCCTCACCCGAGCAAGCAGACGTGAAACAGCAGGTAATCATGAGCTGCATCATCTCCAATGCTCAAACCATATTTGCAGCGTTGTCTGTAACTACAGGGTGATTGCTGCTCAGGCCTCCATTTGTTAATGTTTTCAGTCGACCTATTGGGTATATTTGCAGCTGTCTGGCTTAAAGTCATCTTGAGAGCATCTTTTCTGCTTATTTGAATGTGAATGTCATGCGGGTCACTATAAAATGAATCGATCTCATTCCCTGGACATCGATTTTGCAAAAATGTAAAGGAATCGATTCAAAATCGATTTTTTTACCCAGCCCCAGCGTACATTGTATGATTTTTTTGCCCTTTTCAGGCTGATTCTTCAGTCCGGGGAGAATTTTTTGATAGGGCCGACTTTCAGCCTGATTGTGCATGGCGTAGCGTACAGGTGGGGGTGACGAGGGGCGACCAGCCTCTCATGAGCACCTCCTGATCAGGAATCGTAAGGTCGGGAGAAAATCAAACATGTTTTACATTCAGTCGGTCATCGTAAGGGGGTCATGGGCAAATCGCTCAGTGGGCAAACAAGGATTCTTCATCTTCCTTTAAGATGTAAACCCAACAGCATGGTGGGGGGGCAATGAGTGAAATGGAGTTCTTTCTGTAAAATTGACAGACCGTAGTAGCCGTAGTTTGCTCAGCCACGTCTTTGTCAAAATACGTCGTCGCCTTTTCCTTTTTTAGGGCTTTCAGCACAAAATTGTACAAATATCCAAGGCAGCGCGTTTCATTCTAGTGAGCTTCATATTCCTCTGCTACTCATTCAGCTTCTGGATAGACGTTTAAGCTCCAGTACTGCAACATGTTGGACACTAAAATGCTAAAGTGTGATCCTCACCTGACCATCAATCTTCAGATAACCCGTCTGCCTCATGATCTCCTGCAGCTTCTGGTCAATTTCCACACTGAAAAAACAAAAAATGAAAATAAAAGAGTACAGGAAATAAGTCTTAGTTATGTAGAGCTTTAGAAGCTGGAGATCTCCCATTCATAACAGGAGGCTTTCATCAATCCGTCTTTTCATAGAAATCCTTCACTGGTGGCTCCCAATAGATATGATGGTGAAGAATCTAAGGCCCCGTCCACACAAAGTCAAAACGAACACGAAACGCTGATATTTT